CTTTATGGGTGGTCTACTGTTTGGAGATGCTTTATGGGGGGGTCTACGGTTTATAGATGCTTTATGGGGGGGTCTACTTTTTATAGATGCTTTATGGGGGGTCTACTGTTTGGAGCTGCTCTATGGGGAGGGGGATTCTACTGTTTGGAGCTGATTTATGGGGGGTCTACTGTTTGGAGATGCTTTATAGGGTGTCTACTGTTTGGAGATGCTTTATGGGGGGGTGGTATACTGTTTATAGATGCTTTATGGGGGGGTCTACTGTTTGAGCTGCCTTATGGGAGGTCTATACTGTTTGGAGCTGCTTTATGTAGGCGGGGCTACGTGCGCTAGCTCTTACCGTCATCGCTACGTCTGTCTCTCTCGCCGGTCACGTGTCCGCCGTAGCTTCTCACTAATGGCAGGGCTGTGACGGCCTCTATCGCTGCTAGCACAGTCACGAGCGTCGCCGCCACATTTCCTACTCGTAGTTTCGCGTGTTTCATCTCTTCACTGCGTCGCAAAAAAACCTTTCGAGCGATTGCGATTTAACGAATCGAACTCGTCTACATTGCTCGTCGTTGTTTAGTTTCTATAGAGCATCTCTCTCGTACCCTGCCGTTGTCTGGGCGCCGTTCCTTTACTGCTCAAGTACACCTTCGGTACGCTTTCAGTGTGCAGATTGCACTATCACAGGCAACATCACCGTGATGTCATCACGCACTTCCCGATCGCGCGCGTGTTCACACAATCTCCTCTCTAGCTCTCTTCTAGTGGTAACACGTTTGCGTAGCCGCAGCATACTCAGTATTTGTCCTTATATATGCATGCATAATTTAATTCAGTTATCGTGAGAGAAATCCAGGCGGACGTCTCATATAATGCTGAGAACTACGCAACTGATATTATATTGTCGCATCACGGTGTTCACAGCAGCTGGTGTACGTATATATATATATGTGTGTGTGTGTGTGTGTGTGTGTGTGTGTGTGTGTGTGTGTGTGTGTGTGTGTGTGTGTGTGTGTGTGTGTGTGTGTGTGTGTGTGTGTGTGTGTGTGTGTGTGTGTACGTTATGTACACACAAGTTAATTTGAATTCGAAGGGTCAGTCGCCCTTCAGTTGGTCATGTGTTGCAATGGCACAGCGAGTTTAATTAGTTCTGAATGTATTTGCATAAAGTAATCTGCGATATCATAAGCAGTCTGGCTTTGTTATGGTTCCGGATTCTGCGGACCATGCTGATTCCTGTGCTAAAAGTCAGAAATATGAAATTGTGTGTATATACGTTGCGCATCGTGACATCTGATTTGTTATGAATGAATGTTATATTTCAGGAGCACTCTGTCCCGGATCAGAAGTACATTTCAGTGATCCATACAGAAATATAAGATAATTCATGAATGAATAAATATATATTAACTAATATTAGTTAATAACGCCGTGTCATGCGTACGATAGCGAATGCTACGGAAACGTACTAGCGTTTATTCTCTCAGTTTTTCCCCGACATCTTAGTAATAAATGTACCAGCATGTCGAGTAAACCAATGTAGAACCTATACCAGTATGGTGGCTTACTTATTGCAGGCCACTTGTATGCGTCGAAAAATGGTGGTAATTAACACACTGGTCTACTGCATATAGGGGAACAATTATAGGAAGAATTACTTTAAAAGGTACACGGTATATATTGCTTGCAGCACATTGGTGACAAGTCAATGAACCTTGCGTAGCTCCATCGAACCGCAGTGACTCCCTCTCTGTCTCTCTCACATTCTCAATCTACTAGGTGCTCTGCAGTTTTTTGAAGGAATCAGCCACTACAGAACATGCAACCGATGACGATTCTCCTAGTAACCGTAGGCGTTATTGTTGCTATAGCGACGATCACGAACGCAAGTATGTGATGATATTTATAAGATGGAAATAATTATATACATATAAATATATTTATTTATTTATTTGTTTATTTATTTATTTATTTATTCAGTTACACGCACACACACACACACACACACACACAC